ATGCCCAACAGATTAATTCATTTTTTGAGAGGCGTTCGCTAAATGTGTTGCATAATGTAGTGGCCATCGTGGTATACACAGTTTCCGGATATGGTACTTGCAGTCCTGAACATTTTGTCCTCTATATCATCACCGTCATCTACTGTTTCGATATCATTTTTTACCAGGTTGACCGAGATACACTCCGCTATTAGATTGCGCGTATCACTCAGTAACCGTTTAAATTTAAAGCATAATAAACACAGTGTTCAGTGCTACCTATAAGGAAATTAATCCCAATAACGGCGCACTGGCGAAGGCCGCAATTATTCACTTGAACACTAACGTATCATACGACGATAGCAGAGCCGACTCCAGGTAACTCATCAGAATAGGTCCAAATCATGTTGCATGAATTTTCAGCGCATCCACAGTCTTCACTGAAAGAATTTAAGTATAGCAAATTCTGCTTCAAAACGAGAGCTGTTAACCCCACCCCATCTGACACATTAACTTGCTTAGACTCTTTAATGGCCTAAATTACCAAAACGAAAGTAATATCTGCGGTCATTTTACACTGATAATGATCTGACAAGTGCATTAGCAGCGTTAATCCGAACCTGTATTTGACATTATAAACCTAAGTGGTGTTTAAAGGATGTTGCTTTCTTCCGTAACTGCAATCCAAGACGGACTGCTTTCGTCCTGATTGGGGCTCGTCAGGTATAGGTGTTGTGGCCTGAGCCTTGAACTCGGCGTTCTTCGAAAAACTTTTGCCCTGATACCTGATTGAATATGTTCTAAACACGTAAACAACGATTAACGAACTGGAAAGCAAACGCATGTAAAGGCGCACTTTGCGGTTTGTGGATTTTGATATAACAGCAGAAACGCGGGTTCTGCAAGTAATTGAAGTGAAATGCACGGGATGCAGCAGAAGGTGATTATGACGATAGCTGAAAGAAAAAAGGGAATTCTGAGTACTCTGCAGCAGGAGCAATATGAATGCAGATAAAGCCAAGCGAAATGTAGTGTTGCCAGTGTTCAGTTTGACGATACAAAGCTGCGTCTTCTTCGATATTAAAGGCACGATTATAACTAACTCCGGTGGTCTGAAAGAACGATCAAACTGCTCTTGAAACTTGCGATAATTTCTCCTAGGTATTGTTTGCGTCATTAAGCATCCCTTTTAAAAATGGGTGTCACCGGAGAGGAACAAAACTTTAGTTCAAATATCGCGGTCTTTTCACAGTATAAATGCTGTATGTGCGTTTGCTTACCGCGCTGCAGTTGAATGCCCATCAAGTATTTTTTGTCACTCCCGTAGGCCTAGAAAGGAAGTTTGCACCATAGACAATAGTAAGGCCAAAATACTATTATTGGTAATAAGAATATCGGCTCTTATTACGTTATGTTAACAAAGATTTACTCAGTCGCGGTTCCCACGCACTGTGTGACAAATGAATCTTGTTTTACAACATTCGTATAGGCTATCTACATGTTTGTTGTATGATCGCACGGATACATAAAAAACGCGCTACTGAACAAACAAAATACCTTTGTTCTAAATTAATTGTTAAACATGTTTTTCCAAAACAACCGAATAACCGTCCACTACTCGATTGGAATTACGCACAAAATTTGAGGTTTTTGGAGTTGAAATTAAGTAGCGCAATTTCAGTATCTAAGTGGCGATATTTGGCTAGTATGGCTTATACACTGAGAACTATGAACAATGAACAATGATTTATCACGGGATAAAAGCAAGTGCTTGACACGTCCCGTAGGATGGTTGCGGTGAATATGATGCAATTAAACATCAGTGTATAATGAAAAAATTATCGCGCGTCAACTTTCAGAAAGACACTGGGGTGCAGTGATAGTTGAGGTAAAGAGTGAGAAAATAAAATACGGTCGCTCACTTAGGTCCGTTTGATACATTAGTCCTGTTGAAAACATGCTTGGCGTAATCCACAATAGAGGAGCTTAGGTAACAAAATGTTGGGAGCTAAGAGCAACATCTAATCGTTTTTTGAAACCATCCAGAGTGGGAGAGGATACAACTGAGTTTGGGAGTGCGTTCCAGGGTTTGCAAACCCGAAGAGAATAGTAATTCCGTCGACACTCTAGACGGCTATATTGTTCCCTCAAGTTTAAGCAGTTACCCCTGAGCTGCGTGTTGTGGCTAATTTTCAGCAAATGGCGGCATATGTGGTCGGGGTCACTCAATATCTGATACGCTAATATGAGCTGGGCGCGGAGCCTTCGATAACGTCCGCTGAAAATTCCCAGCAACTTCAGTCTTCGGTGATAAGAGTGATAGCGTTGGTCCTTTACATTCTTTGTTGCCCTTCGTTGTCGCCCCTCTATCGCTTCTAGGTCGCGCTTCAACCAAGGTTGCCAAGTTTGGATTGCGTACTCAACATGCGGGGGCACGTAGGAATTGTGCATCATTGGGAAGATTGATGGGTCTAATCTCCCGACTGCCCTTCGCAGCATGCCCACGTGCTGGTTGCCTATTTTCGCAGCTACCTCGGCCTGTTTTGAACAGTTGAGGTCGCTCTGTACGATCACACCAAGATCAGGTTCCTGGGAGCTATTCTGCAATCCGTTAGTCCCAAGTGAATAGGTGTAGTTATGTCTATGGCGTAAATGTACAACGCTATATTTGTCTACATTGAACGGTAGGGCGTTTTGAACTGACCAGTTCGACACTGTGATAAAATCGTGCTGGAGCCGTTCATGGTCGTCCGGTCCTCTGATCCTTCGCCATATCTTGATATCATCAGCGAAAAATAGGAAATCGGAAGCAATTGATCTCGCCAAATCGTTAATGAACACCAAGAATAGACGAGGTCCAAGAACCGATCCTTGTGGTACTCCACACGTCACATCGATTGTATGAGAAAATGATTCTCGAACTCTCATCACTAGCCGTCGATCTTGTAGAAAATTGCTAATCCAACTCAGGATTGGATCGCCAATGCCGTAGTTCCGAAGCTTTTGAAGGAGAATTCGATGGTTTAAACGATCAAAAGCTTTTGAAAAGTCCAGGTAGATGACATCGACTCCTACTCCATCATCAACAGCTTCAGTCCAGCTATTACGTGTAATTAATTGATTAGTATTACACTAATGCTTTTGACGAAAGCCATGTTGCTCTGGGGCTATTAAATTGTGGCTCTCCAGGTATTCCATCAGCGCATCTGCGATGATTGATTCCATCACTTTGGAAATACTGGAAGTAGTGTTATTGGACGGTAGTTCGCAGGATCAGTGCGGCTACCTTTATGGATAGGAGTGATGACTCCTTACTTCCATACTGGTGGAATACGGTTTTCCTCTAGACATCGCTGATAGAAAGCAGCCAGTGGTGCTGCTAGATCACTAGTTACCGCCTGTAGAGCCTTTGGTCGGATGTTATCAGCTCCGGGAGAACTGTGGATACGCAAGTATAACAACTTCTTCAACACAGCTTCCGTAGTGAAGGTGATGTCTTCTAAACCAGATGGTGGAGTATTAGAAATGAGGTGAATGTTTGGGCTCGTTACCTGCTGGAAAGTTTGGGAGTAATGAAGCCGTAGGAGATCAGCTGCTTCCATCGCTGATCGCATGCACCCATCAGCCGTGACTAGTGCTGGAACCCCTCGCTTTACCTTTCGAAGGCCGTTAATGTGCCTGTACAGGAGTTTGCGGTTAGTGCAGAATCGCTTCATTAACTTCTGCTGATGCGTGACCTTTTCTTCGCGGATCAGTTTCACACAGAAGTTACGATGTGTCACGTATGCAGTCCAGGTTTCGGCATTCGGGTAGTCCTGGTGAGTTCGCCATGCCAAATCCTTCCGGGACAGATATTTACGTGTTCTGCTCCTCAGAAGTGACTTACGCTTGTTTTTGGGTTGGACAATGGACAATGGACAATGGTTTATTACGGGTAAAAATGCATCGCTTAACAAGTCCCGTGGGATAGAAATTATTGCGAAAATAAATTGCATAATAAAGTGAAAAGCGTTGTGATGGACTCACCATAGACTTATGTGAAATAGCGGAGATGTTCGCATATTAAACGTATAAATCCATAAATCCAATGGTTAGGCGTTTGGCAAGAAACCGTTTGATTGCGTTTTGTAGCCCATGGCTAACAAGTCGTAAAATGAAATGTAAATGAGACAATGCATCTTCAACACGTTTTTTAAATCTCACCAGATTGGGAGCAGAGACGACATAGTTAGGGAGGGCGTTCCAAGGCTCACACACGCAGAGAGAAAAGAAATTTCTACCGCATTCAAGCCGGCTATAATGAATTGTCAGTTTTAGAGGGTGACCTCTTAGTTTAGTATTGTGGTTCAATTCCAGCAGCGGACGGCAAATGTGGTTTGGGTTCTTCAGAATCTGGTAAACCATTATGAGATCCCCCCGCAAAAGCCGATATCGACTGCTGTAGATTCTTAGAGATTTCAGTCTAAGCTGATATGACAGATGAAAGAGACCCCTGACGTTCTTAGTTGCCAGTCGTTGAGGAGCCTCGAGAGTAGCGAGATCCTGTTTCTGCCACGGCTGCCACGCCTGAATAGCATATTCCACATGCGGGCGCACGTAGGCGTTAAGCATTTGGGGAAATATTGATGGTTCAAACCGACTGAAGGCTCTGCGAAGAAGGCCGAAGTGTTGATTTCCGGTTCTCGTCGCCTTCTCTGCTTCTTTGGAACACCCGAGATCTTCCTGCACCAACACACCCAGGTCACGCTCCTGAGAAACCTTCGCCAAGGTGTGGTCTCCCTCCAAGCTTGTAAGCTATCACCTGTTGGTGACGCAAATGCATCACTTTGCACTTAGCCATGTTCAATTGAAGCTTGCTCTTCTTTGACCATTCGTAAATGCAATCTAAGTCATGTTGGAGCAGATCCTGATCTGCCTTGTTACTAATCGCCCGCCATATCTTGACGTCATCGGCGAAAAGCAGGAAGTTTGAGGAGATGACTCTTGCCAGGTCGTTGATAAACACCAGGAATAAGCGCGGTCCCAGCACTGAGCCTTGCGGGACACCACATTCCACCTCAATTGGGTTAGAAATTGATTCCCTAACACGTACTTGGAGCTTTCGTTGGTAAAGGAAGTTGCCAATCCAACCAAGTACAGGATCTCCTATTCCGTAACTTTGTTGTCTTTGGAGTAGGATGCGGTGATCAAGGCGGTCGAAAGCTTCGGAGAAGTTCAGATAGATGACGTCGACTCCGATGCTTGCGCTACTATTGTGCTTAAAGTCCTTGTAAACATATCCCAGGCCAGATCTTCGGGGCATTCGGTTAAGAAAGTCTAAGATGTATCCTTAACAAGCTTGGACAACACATTGTAGTGAGTGACAGTATGCACTTTATCCTCCTCCTTTTCCGGGTACTCGGCGTAGCATATATAATCAAAGAGTAGAGTGACATGGTCACTACGACTCAGTGGTGTGCTTGTAACTATCCCGCCAACCATGAGTTCTTCGTTAGTTAGCACAAGATCCAGTATCGACGGCTTGTTAGAAGTTCGAAATCTGGTGGGAGAGGTTACGTGGTTGTAAAGAGGGTGGCTAGCAATAAGTTCTTGCAAACAGGCTTTAAACTGCATACCGTCGGTTGCCGGCGTTTCTATGTCATGCACGTTAAAGTCTCCCGCGATGAGAATGTGGGTGTAGGACTTGTTCAAAGCAAACTGAAAAACGTGGTGCAGTTTGGAGTCCATTTCCGACGTTGAGCTTGGCGGGCGATAAACCACGGCTAGTAGACATGTGTCCTTGTTTCGCAACCAAAGGCGGCACCAAAGCGAATCGGGAGCTCGGATTTCCGGGTGATCGATAACTTCACATCGGAGGTTTTTATTATAGTAAAGAATCACACCGCCACCCCTTCCGGTTCTATCGGTCCGAAGCAGCGACATACCGGGTAAATTGATCTCACAGTCGGTTATCTCAGGGTTTAACCATGTCTCTGTAATCATGACGAGGTCCGCGGTTGTGAGGCATGGAGTTCTCTAAGTTCGGCCAACTTGCTTAGAAGGCCTTGGGCGTTTGTGTACATGCAAGATAGGGCTTTTGTTGTTAGGAGTTCATTGATAGATGTCAAGTTTGTGTTAGTTTTTAAGCTTTTTAAGCCGGCCGTTAGGTGACCGGCAATTAATCGTTTTTTTGGTTTGTGTATTTCAGTCGTGTTGCATGACATTATTGAGCGTTCCTGAACAGACGGTTCACTCGTGCTGTGCTGGGTCCTCCTGTGTGCCGTGGGCGCTGTTGTGTCGGTCCCTCCGAAGGACTGTGCAAATAAAGAATTTGCAGCGTTTGCAAGTTCCATCGAATTGCTTCCGACTTTTGGTCGTTCGCCTGCTGCCTTTAGCCGTATTTCTGTTGGCAACCTAGCTCGAAACTTTAACCAGCTATCTAACAGAACTTGCGTCATTCCCTCTGAGTGTAGTATTACTTTCATTAGCCTTGGACCGCAGCCCTTGTAGTTAGGTGATAACGGAACTCTTGTCAGGGATTTGGCAATAACATTGTCAACAGAGAGTGCTTCGCGAATGTAGCACCACTGCTCTCGGTCATGTGTTTGCGCATCGTGATCAGAAGAATGCAGCAGCTCGGGAACACCATGAACAAATATTGTTTTCTTGCTATCCCTATTAGCAATACCGCGTTGCTCCACTGCTTCTTTTGCGCGATCTTTCCAAGGTAGATCAGGTAATATGCGCACTCCGCTCGGTGAGTAGCGAAGACGAACTGCCGAGAGCAGGACAGCCTCTGTCTCATCTGCTGAGTTTAGTGTTACTTGAAGAATTCGTGGTTCACCAGAATGCACTGAGGTCGAGTGACGCGCCACGCGTTGCAGCATTGCAGACTCAACCCGAATGCCAATCGCCTCGCAGATGGAACTCCACTGGTTGCGATCGTCTTGCAACTTGCCTTTTATTGTGCCTGATTTGGATTCGGGAACGTTGGTGCACACGAGAGTTAGCGCAGCGTGGTTTTGTCTAGCGAGTGTTGGCTTTATACATTTTGCCGGCCATTCAGGTTGTTTAGAGGGCACCACTGGAGTTGACGGTGAAAGCTGCTTTGTGCCACGCGTGCTCGGTACTGAAGATGGACCTTTGTGTGTCCCTCCCGGTGTGTTTGTCGAGGCAATCGATGCGTACGTTACGTGCGTATTATCTGCACCGGATTTCCTTCGGCTGTGAGCTGTCGGTGTCATGGCTGAATCTCCAAGTGAATCGTCTATGGTTGGAGAAGTGGAAGCAGGCATGTTTGAGGCATGCCCACTTGTGGGAGTGAGGTGACCTAGTGGGTTTAGAGTCACAGACGCTGCAGTGCGGTTGGAGCGTCTAGCTCTTTTCTTCGGTTTAGACTCAGAGCTAACTTTGACCGGGTGAGGTATTATCGTGGCCATATTTACCTCCGAGGGAGCGACCTTAGTATTTACAAAATGCGCGATTATTTCAGTCATCCAATCGCATTTTTTCATGAGCAAAGATAAACAGTTGACCACTGGAATGACTTGACATGTTGGGCAAAACTAAATTGTGTCAGCAACTTGGTTTGTCTGTCTCACTTCTTGGACGGATTTACCTGCACATTGTGGACAGTACAATCTAATGCAGCTAGAACAGGTAATACTGATCTTAAGCACTTTACTGCAGCTGTCTGCACAACATAGGCGACGCTGAACCATAGGAATGCTTGTTGTCCTCTTGTAGTTTACAACAAAGCCTTGATGGGTGTACTTTGCGCTAGGGGTGACGCACGAATAGGTCAGAACACGCACACGAATTGAGAGTTGTTCAACCGCACCAAGGTCAGGCGGAGAGGCAGCTGGGGATCTTAACGCGCAGACTGTCGGATTCGGCGATTAATCGACTCGCAGTGGTACACACACACACAAACAAAGCGGTAGCGTGTGTGTTATCGGCCTGCCTTAAGCGACGATGCAGGTGGAGCGCAGATAAGCGTCCCTAGAGCTGCTCAGTTGATGAGCGGAGCAAAAGCGCTCTAACTTTGTTATGCTGCAACTTGCAGGGATGGTTGCCGAGTAGTTTGGGAGCCCTAAGCTTCTTCTTCCGAATGAGACCAACATCTTTTCCGAAAGACCGGTCTGATGTAGTTACACAAGTGGAATTCGGCAAAGAATATGCCGAAAAATGGGAACTGGAGAAAGAGTATAATCCACACAGATTAGATCCAAGAGTTGGGAAGCACTGAGTAGGGCTCGTCGAACTGGTTCGAACGAGCGCACGCACAATATTTTGTGGGGAGAATTGGAGTGGCCACAACGGGCAAAGCGAGAGAGGAGTTACAGTACGGCCGCACAGTAGGGTGTCAACTGGTGAACATCGCAAGTGGATTTGAAATTAAGCAGCCATACTATGGTGAAATCATGGTGCTGGAAACAGTCTAAGTAGCTTGTATATCTGTCAACTAAGAATTATCTTTTTACGCTGAAACCTGATAGATCTGAAGAACGTAAGGCATTGTGAAGAATACGAGCGAATTTCATTACCAAGAATATAATAACCCACTGATGAGAATTTGATGAGGTTATTTATAATACCGATCACAAGAAAAATAACAGACAAATTTGTGATACTGGTTGGTTTCTTAGTAACTTGTGTCACATTTTATTAAAATCTGGCCAATAGTGAAATATGTACTGAATGAAGGAAATGTTTGTCATTACAGTGTGAATAATTTCTGTTCAAATGCATCGAATTGCCAGCCTGTAGCTTCAAACCGGAATGCATATGATAAGTTCATATTTCGTGACAATAATTACTCCGATTTCCAAAGGCATCCATCAATAACACAGCATTCACATGTAGACTGAATGCTTCGGGACTCGAACATCGATCTTAGCCTCATGGCTCGAGTAATGTATAAAAGAAGTTGCAGCCATCCTCCAATAATTCATTTGAAACCGACAAACATTGACACAACTCCTGAATCTAACCTGAGAAAAAATTGTATCGGCGGCAGTCAATAAACCGGTTATAACAACCAAACCAGTAACGTTGAAGGCTGAGGTCGCCAAACCTACGGTGGCGAGTGTGCGTTTGTCAAGTTGTCCACATGCGATGATACTTATCGATCCGCAGAGGAAAGTCATAAGCGTCGTCAATGCCTGAAAAAGATATTTAAGAGCTGGCAGTAAATGGAGTTAATTGTCTGAACCTTTATGTCTGAGTGCTGTTAGATGAGATATTTCTGTAAGATTTAGATCACTGGATAACTCAAAGTTACCCATGATAATATGAAATTTTCAAAAACAGTAGCAACTGTGTTAGATGTACTTATTGTATTATTTTATTCTCTATATCTGTCATAAATACGTAGTTATCGGTTAGACTGAAGGAACTATTGTCATACTACTCCAGTATATAAAGCAGTTAACACTTCTTGTCAAGCGTTTTGAACACTACTTTGTCTAGCACGACAACCTCGTATAGGAGAATAAGTAAAGAAATAATAAGACGCCAGCCAGCTAAAAACAAATTATCCAAACCTGTTTCGCTTTTGGTTGCAAAATAGCTTTTCCTGTCAGCGAAGTCAGTACTCAAGTTTAGAGGGCGTTAGGTGACGAAATGGAAGCAGCCTCACTCGAAACTACCCATAGATAGTAATCTAATTTCTTTTTACAATTACGTGTCACGAAATTCAGAGATCTGCCTTCTTAGAGTAGTCCCAAATCGGCTAATCGGTCGTTTAGTGTATCTTCCGAAATGCTATACTCATGTGAGCACATTCTTTCCAACTGGACTCCTATAACATACGTGTAATTTGTCTTTATACCTCAGGTTGCCATCAAAAGCTTGGCAATATTGACAAAATACTCTTTCTGTTACTTCCACAACGTGTGCCTTATTGACGCCCTTGACACTAAAGGGTCAGCCGCGACATACTGTGTCCAGTAAGTAACCATAGTGATGGTTTTCTGGTATACTATACCAAGCATGCGCTCTCTGATTATTATCGGCGCTACAGATTAAGCGCGGGTTCTAATTCTGAAGGATTAAATATATTTGTGCATGGCTACATTATACTAATTATACGAATCACCTTGTTCCCAATGCCATATCCTAACATTTGCTAAACATTAATAGGCCAAATGTCACTTAGTTTACCAAACAACACTACTCTACTTTCTAGGGAGGAAATGTTGATGTTACTCAGTATTCATTAATTTGCTTAGCAAGACACTTAGCCTATTTCACAGACAAACACTAAACCGTATGTCATTTTGATGAACATTTCTATAAACAAGCGCCATTTGACTAGGCAAACCTGGAATCATACTATCCCGCAAAGAATATACATTTAGAGTATCATAGGTAAAAAGAGGATTATTTCTGAGTCTATGACATCGTTGCTTAAGTTCTTTAGTCCATATTTCTCTGTAAGATGCACCCGGATTCTTTAAGATCCCAAAGTCTACCTTACATAAAGTCATATACAGCGCGGTGACAATGTGTACGTTTGGATAAGTGACTAAAACGGTACTTCTTACTAAAATATCAAACGTGCCTGCAAAACAAATCCACACCAACTTAGTTATGATATAAAATACCAGAAAGCAATCCGTTACAAATGCGTTATATCCTTACCTGCAACACAGGTATATTCACTTGTGAATATGACTTACCTAAAAATGCTGCTTTTTGCAAGGACGCCATAGCCAAAATATCGAGCATTCAATTTATGAAATGACTCAGCACTTAACACTATTTTGCCAACAATCCATCTACATGGATATACTCCAAATCAAATGGACTATGTATTAATTTCATTCCTTTGATCTAGGAAATTTTGTGACCGCATTTTCCATCCTTCTTCATATCCCCAAACAGAGCTTTTTCATTCACAGCTGAACGCCTCGGATCAGAAAGAATATTATGCTGAAGGGTAGAGATAGGTTTATCTCGCGAGTGTGCTAATCAGTCTGAGTCCCAAGTTTAGCCAAAGCATGAACCACGTTTGCTTGGAGGACAATTTAACTTGCACATTTCATGATTGGATTGCGACGCGCAACTTCTAACTTGAAATTGATTCGTACTGAATCGAATCTTGGTCAATTCGATCGCTAAAACTGTAGCTGAGGCAGATATAAATTGAGTGTTGGTCTGTTCGAAACATTGAGACTAACGATGATTTTACCTCATTTAATCTCATCAATTGATGATAGCAGACTATCCAACTAGGTGCTATTCATGTGTAAGTCATGCAGACAACACCCAATTTGTATGAACGACGTTTACATTCACCAATTTCCTGGTGCCACAATATTAGTTTCCGTGATTTCTTGTTTAGTTGGAAAGCATTTGATGTTCGCACAAGATCGGAAAATCTAAATGTATTATAATTTTTGCAGCGCCTAAGTGGCTGTTTCTAGATGTTATTTATCTTAAATAAAAGCGCTGGGTTCATCGATCTAAGGAGTAACATCTAGTTACACTTTGCCACCTCCACATGCGAAAGTCAAATGCAGTACTGGTAGCACTGTAGCATACGATCATAAACGCAGTCAATTCACATTAAATAAACGGAGCAATTATTTGAACGATTTGGGGCAATTTCATTAGTCGCCATTTAAAACGAGCATCCGAAAATCCCAGAACATTATTTAAATTTATTGCTTCAAATAAGTTAAATTTGCAGCTAAACTGAGCGCTTTCAGCAATAAACGTAGGAACTTTTTTTAACACGGCTTATAATAATGAAAGAACATAAAGGAATCAAGTAAAAATACGAGAGAGCTAAGTGCATCCGCTGAGCGGAAGCAGACGGCAAGCTATTCTTAAACAATAACTGTTAATTTTTGCCTATCCACCTTTAGAAATGACAGCAGTTCGCTGGAACGTTACTCAACCCTTTAGGTAACGCGCAGATACATAGGTAGTGAACCGCTAGCTTGTTCTGATGAACTCATCAGCGGCGGTGTACCATGGTCAACAACTAGATTATATAGATCCCTGTTATCCTAGGTAACCTAGTGGTGATATTCGTTATGTGCGCAATATGAGGTTCTTTATGTGAATCCCAAGTGGTTCGAACGATTTGGATCCGAACAGAACATTTGTCTGACCTTATTGTGGACACAAGGTGGCTGTCACCTAATCCATGCACTGAAATGTTAGATGCCACAGGTGGTCTACACTCTACCAGTTTGTGATAGCATTTTGATCGGATTTTTGTTCTGAATGACATTAAACATGAATTGACATTAAAACTGTTATCTGCAGTTTGCTAAATCTTGTCATACTGAATAGATACATACATTCCTCAGAAGAATATCTAATGGATCTGCCGGAATCCCAAAGGACGTTGGAACCATTGAGGCGAATGTTAAAGCGGTAGCTGCAAACTAGTGTGTTCGAACAAAATACGAGACAAACTTTTCTCGAACTTAGAAGTAAACATGATCTTCTAAAGGTGGTACGAGTGATACCCGATTTCGGTTTTCCAGTCAAAAACTGTGCGCCTTTCATGCGTCAGCTAAAGTCCAACTCAGCCAATATCAGAGGAAACATCATCTATAGAAAAAAAGTAATTTAACGGAAAATGTCATAGATGGGCGAACAAACAAAGAAACTTGTAACAAAACAGCTTTTTCAATGTTGCACATCAGCAGAAAATGAAAGAGTTAAACTCGAAGCCCAAACGCGGCAGGTCTTGATGGCCAAAGCTACCGTTCACTTTCACAAGTAAAACCTTTAATACAAATGCCACAATTAACATCACTGACATATAGTAGTCAATCTTCACATTTCCACTTACAATAGGGATGGCCAATCGAACCAAGTATTTTAACTCATAGCAGAATCCGAAAGGAAAGAATTTTCCAAGTAAACCCATTCGTACAACAGCCGGAATTTCCATCACATGTGTGCCTCTTTCATCGGAGTCTGAAAACTGCAGAAGGTAGCATGAGAACGATTATAGTTAAAACCCGTTACGAATCGAAATTATACAAAGTGAACTGTGACGAAAACCGATCCTTAACTCATGCATACCGGGTAGATTTGGATACTTTGAAGTTGCCCATAACTAATTGTCGAACTTCCGTCCCAAGTAGGCGTAGTATTTGTCTACCTTCTTTTTGCCTTCTCATTCTACCTCAAACGCCAAGAGTGTTTTACGCAAACTCTCAAAGTTGCACACGTGAGAATTTCACTATAGAATTGGCTGTTCAAGTCAGCAGTGGTGAGAACATTGATGGCGTGTGCTGCGATAGTTGCAATTGACGGCAGTAAACTATCGCGCGTGCTCGGTGAAGTACGCGTATGATGTATTTGAATCCCCTTGTACGGCTATAGCGATCACACGCCATATCTTTAGATCATTGGCGAGTATTAGTAGAATTGAAGAGAACACCCTCGCGAAATAAGTTTTGATGACAAGGAACAGGCGGGGCCCGACTACCGATTATCGAGGTACGCCGCACGTCGAGCATAAGTTCCGCGTCATTAAAAGCATGGTCCCAAATGACCGGTATTTTTCTTGTCCTGAAATGGGTTGGGTTCATGACATGGTTATAAAGCGTTCAACTAATAATCAGCTCTTGTATTTCCGCTTTTTGATGCTCTCCGAGAGTGACCGGGGTTCTTAGGACGTGGCGGTTTAACTCTCCTACTAAATTCATCATAGTTAATGAGAGAACCTGATTCCTTTCTAAACTTGACGATGAAAGGCGATGTACATTTGCCACTAAACGCTTATGGTATTTGCGGCACCATAACCAGTCTACTTCTTGAAGCCCTGGTATGTTCATGTGGTTGCCGCATAGTTCGGAGCGATTGCAGAGAATTACCCTGCCTAATGAATCCGTCATTGGGCAAGTGACATACCGAGTAGTGTGGTCGTTGCTTCCGTAATCATGTCTTTCAGCCGTGTCACGGCGGCCGAATTGTGGTGTTGTGTACAAATAAGGAGGCTTGACGAAATTGAAGGCAGGTCAAATTGCTAACAAGGCCACGTACATTTGATACGAGCAGTTGGGAGCTGCGGATGACAGAAAGGTATTTGAAAGTATAAAGGTTTCCAACAAATTGACACCAACTGTCATGAGGCCGGATGACAACTTTTTGAATATAATCCTGGCCTGTCCTGTTTTATTTTGTATAGATAACCCACTACATTATCCTTCAGGGCCACTTTTATTAGATTGCCTGTTTTGTTTTCTGGTTACTGGGAAGTTTCGCTGTAGACCAGTTCAGAAAGTAAGGCAGGTAGACTTGTGGCAACATCCTACCTTTTTATGTTTGTTCCGCTAATAGTGCATGAATTTGATCCCCTTCGGGCGTAATGCAGCTTGCAGTTTGTTGCTTAATTGTGCTAAATCCGAACACCGCTTCATCCATTCTTATGGAGTGGAATATGAATTATGACAATCTTTGGCCACATTATTTTAGTTGAGTAATATTAATTATTTTGACCATGCGTGGCCATTAAATCATGGAGAGAGAAAAAGCCATGACGATACACCGTCACCCTACTACGTCAATAGCATAGGAATGCGACTCGTCCAAAGAGCGTCTCCGAAGAAGTTTAATCACCCATCATTTTAATTGCAGTATAATTTTCGTTCGTCTTCCTATGCCGACGCGCAGTCCGAATGGATATTAGGGGTATAAGAAAGTCGCATGATGAATCCCGAAGACAACGAGCTGACAAGTGGATGTTCTTCGCATCTGCACTCGACTGCAATGATACCAAAAGTAGCCTAGTTTCACCATAGTGAACTGAGGTTGCGTGGCGGATGCTGAATAACAAACTGCCCATTTTAGCCTGAATTCCCTTGCTTGGTATATTGATTCTTAAGGTTTCAGGTCCTCCACCGTGTACTAAATGATGGAATTTGCCTTCGGTTCAGAAATGTCCAAGCTTAGTACCTTCATCGAGTTTTGCATCCTTCTGGTGTTGACAGTTTGCGTAAAAGCGTGCCTTGTTTCTCAGCAACCTTGGGTTAATTCTAGTAGGTGAATTGTCGTTCGTGTCATTCGTAACAATATTTCAAGTGGTGAAATACTTGACACAAACTTTGCTATTTAACTGCATGCAGCGACAACGGACAGTATTTTGTCAGACTATTCGTACATTTGGATATACTTTGCAACGATACAGTATCGTATGTCACAGACACGGCAGAACAACAGTTCTATGCATAATTGTGGTCTCCGATTTTCGCAGAACCTAGTTGTCAGGCTGTTTGTTACTTCTCGTATTTGGAGTCTCTGGATCTACAATGAGCAACACGATGGGAGTACGCATGGTGTGTAAATCAGGTTAGCGTCTATTGGCTGATTTTAACCCCGTTGCAATTACGAAGGTTAGGGACTTCTTAGATGAACTTGTACAAACCAAGTGAAAGAGGAACTTTTTAAAGTATACATGGTAAAAGTACGAACATATGGATAACCAACGCAACTCTATTTTAGGCAAATTTGTTGTAGACAAGCGGTAGATAGTTCAGTGTTGTCCCATGCGTAGAAAATTGCATGATGACGCGTTAGAGTTATCTTATGCAGACAAAACAAAATTAGACTTGCGATTAAGTAAAATGAAAACACTGTTTAGAGATTAGTAAAACATATGCATAAAACATACTTTGCTACGAATACAGTGGATAAACAGACTACTCTAGTGCGTAGCAAATTAATCGGTCAGCTTGTAGCGCACAGGTGTCTGAAGGTACTGTCGATCACGAACTGCTCAAACTACTTGGGTGAAGGGGTGATTAGATGACATTATTAGTGGGCGAAATAGCAAGACGCCAAAAGCCGTAAGTAGAAACAAGCCGAATCCCAGCTAAGATTTATCGCGCAGACTAGTGGAAAGTTATAAAGTTAGTTCATGCAATCGTTCACCTAACATGCTACGATCTTGTCAATCAGGTTAGGACAAAGGAGAGCAAGTCTAAACACAAAACTTTCAAAAAACTGCATCTTTTAATCGGCATGCCATTTTAGTCACCAACTGCACTGCAATCTTTCATGTGATACCTCCAAAGCGTCCTCATTTAGACGAAGAAAATGCTTGCGAAATTTGCTTGTTGATTGTTGTTAGGAATTCTCAAGTAAAACATGGAAATTCCAATAAAATTTGTCCGACAAAAGCAAATGGTATCAACAGAGAGAAACTTTGCAGAAAATGCAATATGCTGTACATGGAGTAAGAATTACTTTACGCAAAGGGTTAGCCGAATTTTAAGATGGTATAAGAGATGTAAATAAACTCACCGTCATTCGCCATAAGGTAGTTTCACTTTCGTCGGCGTGATGTTTGTCCAATATATAGAGTGGTTAGATTTAACCCGCTATATAATTAGGTCATCATGGACACGTGAATTTTGGTAAACAACATAATCAATGCCCAATCTATAGTCTAACACAGATTACACCCAAGTAATCAATAGTCATGCTTAGGCCCAGTATTGCCTTGCAGTTCATTCGTTATCGCATTCTCCTCGAAAGCGATTGTACGGCAGCAGACCCAAACCCTGAGTTCAGTCGGATGATTCGTCGAAACGAATGGTGGTTAGAGCGAATTCATTTGACTGAGAAAACAGAAGAATGGTAATTTTCCAACAAACCTAATTAATCACTACTGCTTCCAAAGTGGCTCCGTTATCGCCGTTTGATGCGCTAACTGTTGGGCGAATGACCGCAACCTTCTCAAATGCTTCGTTTTTGTGATCGATTTCCTTGGAGGCAAAATGGAATCAATCTCCTTTTTGTGTTAAAGAAATAAAAGATGGAGCGAGATTCATCAGAAGCTATAGCGACGGGTATCTCAGTCAAACTAGCAGAGGATGCCATCGAAAGCATGAACGACGAACAAGACATAAGGTACGGGAATATTCAAGATGACATTTATCATTTAGAATAATTAGTATACCACGACGATCAAAAAATTATAAATGAAAAGTAGCGGAAACCTGTAGAGAAATTTACTAAGCTTTGGTGACAGTGCTGATAGTTTACAATTGCACCATTATCTTGTTGGTACGCGTCTCTATTGTCTGTGCTAGTTATTAACGAAACTGAGTCCTCTGTGACACAAGTTACAGACCACTTTTGGTACTGATCGGAGTTAACTTTACCGTACGAAACCTGAAATTAGTTTACCAAAATCCGGTTGCGTAATTATAACGCGCCGGGTTCGGCACCCTTTCTTGGCGTCAGGATACAATAGCCATTTCGGTGCCCCACTCAATCACAATGAACGCACAATATCGGTGGTAATATTAGACACCACATAATGGAAAAATTGAGAGTGGGGGCTTCGTTTGGTGTAGTTGGTTGGAAGATGGCGGTTTGACTGCTGCGACTGATTGGACCATACCAGATGTAGGAGCGTCCCAGATCATCGTAGATCATCACACCTGACAGTGTTTGACCAGTTTTTGGAGAGTGAACGTGGTGTTTTTTCGCACCCTGGCCAAGAGACGCTTTAGTATATTGGCATTCTTGGGGCACTGGAAAGCAGCGATTAAGGTGAGACACTTGCAATTATCCTCAGTCAGCAAACCATGTTGAAACGCTCGCGTTCGTGATCTACGGTACTCGTCTGCGTAATGAAATCGTCATAACGTTTAGCTAGCTGAACGTTGGAGCTACTAGTTAGCAGTGAAGACTGCTCGCCAAATATCTGCTACTGCGTCTGGATCGTCACGGAAAAGAGAAAATCACTAGGTTTCTTCGACTGCATAATGTTGGGATGCCGTTGCTGCTCGATGGTGGCCACTTTGCGCAGTGGCAGGCGGAACTTCCATGCATACCTGCTTGGCCAGATCAACAGTGAACATGTTCTCGAACTGTCTGTACCAAGCGCCAAACCTCACTTTGACACTGACGTTGCACAGTAACAAAAAGATGCCGCCAACCACCTGGTCAACAGATTGGTGATTTCCA